CAGCCAATCTTTTTTTCAGTGTGGTTATAGTTAAATAGATATTTATGATTGATATAGAGTCTACCGCGTCAAAGTGTTGTGACTTATATAAAATGTTAAGGATCTCTATCAAAGATCTGGACAATTGTGCTCGTTCTTGAATTAAAAAAAATTTTTTATATTAAACACATCGTAATAAATTAGAAGAAAAAAATTCATATATTAGAAAATATTAATTCATATATTATTAATTCTATAATTATGAATGATGAAAAATAATGATAAATTAAAGCAGGTTGGAAGTGAATATTAAAATATATAAGATATATAAATTATCTATTAATACGGCCAATAATGCACCTATCGAATAAAGAAAATTCTTAAAATGTCTAAAAGTTTATGCTTTAGTAGGTGCATGTGAAAGATCGGTCGAACACGCGATACAGAACCAACTTAGTTATTACACGTTAAAATTATAAATATTTATGCACGCATATTAACATTTATATTAACAGATTAAATGTGGTTGACGGTAATTGGCGCTATGACGCTGATACGTCTCACCGACTCACGTATAAAATGCAATCGACTGCAGAGATTGGCGAGCACCATCAATAGAAAAAAGTTTTTTCCCAACAGATCTCGTATCGTTGCGGATTTTTGTATCAACAGGGTTTACTGAAATCTTGTAAAAATATCTCTGAGAATTTCCGGATTTCAAGGTATTTTTATTCAAAATTCCAAGTAAGATTAAAAAAAATTTTAATGCAAATAAATTGGAATACGAACAATGTAAGTAACTCTTATATTCAAAAGTAATAGAAGACAAATTCCACGAGATTATATCTATCATTTTTGACAATCGGAATACCCAAACTTATAGGATAATAAGAAAGATAAACCACAATATATAGTATCTGTACTATGCAGTGAGTTCTCTTCTGCTAATTAAGTATTGTCTTTTTGTCACTCTGATTTTTTAAATAAAAACTCGCGAAAATGTATGTACGTGAATATACATAGATGTGAACGCTGTACTTATTGCTAACCGATTGTCAACATTTTGCATTAAAAAAAAACAATGTTTTCAGAAAAAAACAGAATTTAAATTTAAAAGTAAAATCTCCAAAATTTTCCTGAGTACCGATAAAATTCCATAAAAATTATTTCTAAGAATAAAAAGAAAATTCCTTGAAAATTTCAGATTTTTCCAAACAGTAAACACCCTGATTAATAATAATGATTCATTCAATGAGATTTACATCAATACGAAAATTAGGTGTATGACAGCGAGTTTTGTCCATAATCACCTACTTACCTCGTACGACATTTCACAAGACAATATCGCCATTGCTTCCGAATTGTGATGGGTAGCGGCCAGAAGTGCCGGTAACGTGTACGGTATCAATCTGGGATCTCCGTAAAACGGGAACGGCAGAGTACACAGCTGCTGGAGGACACTGGGGCCCGCGCCAGCCGATTGGAGAACCAGCTGGAACAGATTTCCCAATGACAGACGTTATTCTTCGGCATAATTTTATTTTCTCTAGCTTTTCCAGCAATGTCCGTAAAGAAAGAGAGAAGTCAGCGCGGACAACGGCTGGGAGTTATTGAAAAGAAAATTGCTTCCAAGCAACCGAGAGCTATCGTTTCCGTATCATGATCTTTTTCTCATCCATTCATAGATGTTGTCTCGAATTTTCGCTGTTATATTATACGTAAACCGTATCGATCTGAATATAAATTCTTAATACTTTGCCGACAGGGATATGTCGATACTTCGGTTCAATAGTGAGTAAATCCAGTCACGCGCACAAATAAAAACGGTTTTAAAAACTATTGTAATTTTAAAGCACGTTTCATAAACGCTTTTAAAAACTATTGTAATTTTAAAGCACGTTTCATAAACTTTATTCATAAACTTTTGAAAAAGGCATGATAAAGAGAGATTTTACATAATAAATATAAATAGTATTTTAACCTACACTATAAGATATGAAATGTCAAAAATTATTTTTTTCAGAGGAATATTTTTCTCTTTATCAGGAATCAGTCTTCGCGGGCGGAATCTCTCAGTCAAGTAGACGGAGATCGATATACCGGACGAAGATTCCCTTCTTGCAATTGCAAATTACCCGCATGGCACGTTCGACCGGAGTTTTTTAATTGCGGACGGTTAATTAAAGCAACAGAGTAATTTTCTTAAAGAGCGTGAGAACTTGAATGACCCAGGTGTCACGGAAGCGAGAGTCTTTAGCGCAAGAAGATCGAACCGGACATCTGCGTCTCGTGACAAGTGCTTCTGTGAACAGGACGTCGTATTCCTGTGCACCTGCATAAAACTCTTACAGGAAATGCCCACATTTTACGCATCCTTGTCTCCTTCGGCGTCAAGGTAGCCCGTATCGCGCTCGTATGATTAAATATCGGTCCGTTACGGTTGCCATAACTTCGTGCCTAACATAACGTAACTCGGTAATGATTGATTCGCCATCAGTCATTTCGAAAGAAATATGGGTTCTCCTTATCATAAAAATAGATTTCATCCATGTAGTGAAAACTGTTCCATAAAAGTAGCCTTATCAATTAGCTCACAGAAGATTATTCAACGCGTTTCGAATTATGGCTAAATCAAGGTCCTCGTATAGAGAGTTTCTAAGTTCCTTGTTTAATGAAACAACGTATCGCGATTAACAGCATGTAGTGGCACGCGCGTGATGCCGAGGTGACTAGTTAACGCCATAGGTCCGGGTTTAAAATAAATAAGCGGAAAGCGGTAACGCGCCCACCATGGCGCCACCGCAAAAAAATCCATTTCTCGAATTCGGTTACGACCGTCGACAAAAAACGGAGACGGACGTGTTTATGATCGCGAACGAAGAAGGTGATACCGTCGTACCGGGTAGACGATAACCCTGGCTGCTGCAGATGCTCGTAGAAGCTTAAAAGCGTTTCGTTTCTCCCTTTCTCTCCCTTCTTCTCTTTCTG